TGTTTTCTTTTACTAGGGTCATAATGACCCTGAGAACTCAGAGACAGTCCAAGACTGTTCCAAAAACCGCTTGCAGTTGCTTGGCCAGCGTGACTTGCTTGCAAGTCAACTCCGGGCGAATGTCCTTGGCTGTGTTCTGATTCTCAGGAATCCATCATTTCGCCCTTTTTGTTTTGTGCCAGCTTGTGAAGCATAATAGAAAAATAAACCAGCACTTTTGGCCAATATTACTTCTTGTTGTTGCTGGTGCCTGCGGCAGACTGAAAATAGAATAAAGAATATAACAAGAATTAGTAATAGCGTTCCTGATATTGAACCAATTAAACCCTCTATGTGTTCCACAGGATTTAATTTTGACAACCCGTCCATCATTCCTTGAAGAATATCTCCATTTTGGATAAGCTCTAATTGTTTCACAAATGTACTATGGATTTTAGTTTGCAAAGCCATTATATGTTCAGTCAAATTATCATGATTTAACAAATGTTTTTTAACACATTCCCATGGAAACTCAGTTGCATTATAAGGTACAGGAGTAATACAAAAAGAAGATTGACTCCAATCACATTTTAAAGTTACACGATTTTTTAAACTCTGTAGTTGATCATCGAATAAAATTACAGCTTGATTTAAGTCAGCTATTTCAGATTGCATTTCAATATCAATTTGTCTCTGAGCCACCCAAAGTTGTTCCAATGATTTATGCCATTCTTGAATATATTTAGCAGTCTGAATTACATTATGCAGAGCTATTCCCGCAATAGCCGCCGTAGCTGTGATAGCTATGAGTCCTAATATTGCAGCTATTAAAAGTCCCAGAAATCTTTTACTTCTTTTTAAGAGTCTCCTGGCAACATTCCAAAGCATTCTCATCATGGGGCTCTCTTGCCATGGTCTATCAAGAGAGACAGGAATCCACACCCCTGTCCATGCTCTTAGGAAATAAAACCTTTCGTTCGCCTGTAACTGTATGGTAGAGTTAATACAGGAATACAAGGAACAATTATAACAACTGATCTCTCCAGTAATGGCATTCTAGGTAATCTCTCTTTAAGAATCAGATAATATATTCAAACACATGCTTGAATATAGTGGGTTAAATTCTGGTTTAAAGTCAAAGTATAGTTATGATCACTTACATTAAACATTTTTCCAGTCCAGGAAGTTAAAGAATGCATAGCAGCACCAATTTTCCATATATGGTGTTGAGTAGCAAACCCAGTAATGTAAGGACTAGGACTAAAAAATCTTCCTCCATTCCAATGAATGGGACTATCCACTGAAGTAGAAATTTTATGCAGTAATAGGTTCCCATGCCACCTCAGATCTCCTCCTGAGCCTTTAGAGTGAGCAGAGCCAATAGGGCTCCAATGAATAACACTTCCATAGGAAGTATTAACTAAAACTCACTTACATTCTCCCCTACATAATGTCCAATGTACCCATTCAGACATTTGAGAAAAGACAGGAGTGTTATATGGAGGTAGATCTGGAGGTCCCCTAGAGTCATTGGTTTCAGGTGCCATTAAAGTTTTGCATTGCTAATAAGAACAATTTTCTACCTGATTCCCTTTTTGTAGAATTTCTTTGAATTGACAGCCATACTTGTAAACAAGGAGTTAAACAATGGCTATCCTTCCCTATACATATAGGAGGACCTATGACTCCTGTAGTATAGTTAGGCATTATCATTTCTTCCTCTTCTGGTTTAAAGGTTCTTGAACATCAAAAGGCCCTGGCATGAGGCAATTTCATTAGTATATACAGTTATGGTAGTATCAAACCAAGACATACCTCACGTCAAAGGTGGGTTAGAAATATATGACCAATAAGTAAAATTTTCTCCTTTACTAGAGCTCACCTGCATCATCACAATTGCAAGGCTAGCCAAGAATAATGAGGATGGGGTAAGCGGAGCTCCTTGACACTTTACCAATTTTTCTCCCTCTTGAGTCAGCTACTTAAGTTGACCCCATGTTGGCAGATTAACTCTGACATTGGCTGGTAGAGGAAAACGATAAGTGGTGCCCCCTCCAGTAATCTTCATTTTCTCCACTCCTTCTCTTGTTTCCTCAATTTCTTAATAAGTTTATCAGGAACCCACAACTAAATAATTTTAAAGTCCAAATGTTAGAAAGGAAATGAACTCCCATCTCTCACCCTCCTGACCAAACTTGACCCTGGCATCTCCCCTGATTAGGGTTGTTGAATACATCAAGTATACTTGAGTACATCCCAAGATCTTACTTTTAAGGAAACAAAAATGTTTATGATTTGTTTGAATTGAATAAATAATAAGGTCAAAATAGATGTTTCATTATTCAAAAGATGATTCAAGTGGGGCAAGGCTGGAGGTAGACCCTGGAGTGATGGGGGGATGTACTGGGTGGAAACCATGCATGCTTTTAAATGATGACAGCATAGGAGCCAAAATGGTGGCAGAGTGAATGTGAACTACACAGACCATCTCCCAGGACCAAACTGGAATTACAACTAAAATAAAGACAAATCATCAGGAAAAAGCAACAAAAAAGCAGCTTGCAAGGACCATATAACCAGGGACACTGAATCAATCTTGGTAGGATTGCAGAGGCGTGAGAAGGGGGCTGAGAGCCCATGGACAGCTGCGGTCTTAGCGGTGAGCAGTGCTCTCGGGGTTAAACTCCCAAGCAACTCCACAGTGCAGAGGACCGAGACAGAGCGCTAAAATAGCCACAGCCGCCTTTGTTCCTTTGATGAGCCCTTCCCGGGGGTGGCAGAAAGTCGCCATATCTAGTACTCCAGCAACCTGGCTCACACTGGAGGCCCCGCCCTGGTTACCCCCTGAGGCCCCGCCCAGCCCCACCCAACTTTCAAGCCCACCCAAGCTGTTGCCACTTGCTTAACCATAGGATTGGCCTGTCTTGGATCCTGCTTCAGGTTTTTCCTAAATTCTTTCAAATGAGCAGCATCTGGTCTCAGCGAGCCCCATACCTCTCATTAAGTAATACACTGAAACAAACACAGGGAGGCAGCCAAAATGAGGAGACAAAGAAACAGGTCCCAAATGAAAGAACAGAACAAAACCCCAAGAAAAGAACTAAGCGAAATGGAGATAAGCCACCTAACAGATACTGAGTTCAAAATACTGCTTATAAGGATGCTCCATGAACTTAGTGAGAACCTCAGTGAACTTAGGGAGGGCCTCAAGAGCATAAAAAAGGACCAGTTAGAAACCATGGATACACAGTTAGAATTGAAGGAGGCATTAACTGAAATAAAGAATAATTTACACAGCTTCAATAATAGAGTACGTAAATCCAAGGAGCAAACCATCGATTTGGAATATAAGGAAGCAAAAAACACCCAATCAGAACAGCAAAAAGAAAAAAGAATCCAAAAAAATGAGGATAGTGTAAGGAGCCTCTGGGACAACTTCAAGCGTGCCAACATTCACATCTTGGGGGTGCCAGAAGGAGAAGAGCGAGAACAAGAAATGGAAAACCTGTTTGAAACAATAATGGCAGAAAACTTTCCTAACTTGGTGAAGGAAACAGACATACAAGTCCAGGAAGCACAGAGAGTCCCAAACAAGATGAACCCCAAGAGGCCCACACCAAGACACATCATCATCAAAATGCAAAAGGTTCCAGACAAAGAGAGAATCTTAAAAGCAGCAAGAGAAAGGCAGCTAGTTACCTACAAGGGAGTTCCCATTAGGCTGTCAGCTGATTTCTCAAAAGAAACTTTGCAGGCCAGAAGGGAGTGGCAAGAAATATTCAGAGTGATGAAAAGCAAGAACCTACAACCAAGATTACTCTGTCCTGCAAAGCTGTCATTTAGAATCGATGGACATATAAAAACTTTCCCAGACAAGAAAAAGTTAAAGGAGTTCGTCACCACCAAACCGTTATTATATGAAATGATGAAGGGTCTTTATGAAGAAAAAGATAAAATATATGAACAAACAAAATGGCAATGAATACATATCTATCAACAATGGAATCGCTCTGGCCGGTTTGGCTCAGCGGTTAGAGCATCGGCCTGCGGTCTGGAGAGACCCGGGTTTGGTTCCCACTGAGGGCATGTATCTTGGTTGCAGTTTGTCCCTGGCCCTGGTTGTTTGTGTGGGTGGCGACCACTCGATGTGTCCCTTTCACATCGATGTTTCTCTCTCTCTCTGTTCCTCTCTCTCCCTCCCACTCTACCTGAACAAAAAATGGAAAAATGTCCTCGGGTGAGGATGATAAAAAAAACAACAAAAAAACAATGGAATCTACAAACAAAATGAACAGGAAGAACAGAAACATTCTCATAGATACAGAGAACATTTTGTTGGTTGCCAGTTGGGAGGGGGGTTGGGGGAATGGGTGAAAAAGGTGAAGGGATTAAGAAGCACAAATTCGTTGCTAGACAGACAACCTCAAAGGGAAAGGGGTTGGGGGGGTGGGAAGAAATAAACCAAAGAACCTATATGCATAACCAATGGACACAGACAATAGTGTGGGAAAAGGTGGGAGGGGGAGGAGGGGGTCAAGGGGGAAAAATGTGGAACATCTGTAATACATTTTACATCCAACAATAAAGATTTAAAAAATAAATAAATAAATAAAAATAAAATAGCCACAGCCACTCACCTTGGGCTCCAGCAGAGGGAGGGAACACTAAACTGAGACTTGTGGGGACACTCAGGACTTGGAAGACGCTCACAGATTTTCCTGAGTTGCCACCACGCAGGACGATGGCCATATTACTCCTTCGCAGGGCTCTGGGGAGAGGCAGTGCCCTCTCCCTCAGACATTCAACCCCACCCAGGTGAGCCATTGAAATGAAAATTGAGGCTCATTAAGAAACAGCATCTGCCCCACCCTTGAGAAAACTTCTTACACTGAACACCTGAGGGAGTTTTTCATTCAACTGAGAACCCAAGACTCTTCAAGTAACCACAACTAATAGCCTCCAGACAAAAACTAGATGATAGAGTTGTGGATGCTCGTGTTTTCGGCAGTTTCCGGGGAGACTCGAGGATGCCGCTTTTTGCTTTCTCTGTTCTGATCGCCAAGTGTGGCAGGGCAGGGTACTGGGCTAGTAATGGCGTCCCCGTCCAGGAGACTGCAGACTAAACCAGTCATTACTTGTTTCAAGAGTGTCCTCCTGATCTACACTTTCATCTTCTGGATCACTGGTGTTATCCTTCTTGCTGTTGGCATCTGGGGCAAGGTGAGCCTGGATAATTATTTTTCCCTTTTAAATGAGAAGGCCATCAATGTTCCCTTTGTGCTCATTGTCACTGGCACTGTCATCATTCTTTTGGGCACCTTTGGCTGTTTTGCTACCTGCCGAGCTTCTGCGTGGATGCTAAAACTGTATGCAATGTTTCTGACTCTCATTTTTTTGGTTGAACTGGTTGCTGCCATCATAGGATTTGTTTTCAGACATGAGATTAAGGCAAGCTCTAAGAGTAATTATGAGAAAGCTTTAAAGCAGTATAATGCTACGGGAGATTATAGAAGCAATGCAGTAGACAAGATTCAAAATATGTTGCATTGTTGTGGTGCCACCAACTTTAGAGATTGGGAGAAGACTGATTATTTCATAGAAAAAGGATTTCCTAAGAGCTGCTGTAAAGTTGAAGATTGTTCTCCTCAGAGAGATGCCGATAAAGTAAACAGTAAAGGTTGTTTTATAAAGGTGATGACCATTATAGAATCAGAAATGGGAGTTGTTGCTGGAATTTCCTTTGGAGTTGCTTGCTTCCAGGTGATTGGAATCTTTCTCACCTACTGCCTCTCTCACGCTATAACAAACAACCAGTATGAGATAGTGTAACCAACATTACACAAGTTTACTCCTCTCCAACTTTAAGGACATTTACATTCCCCTCTGTGAATTACTAGATTACCTGGTTGGAAAACTACCTCATGTCACCAAAGACCGAAAAACTACACCAATATAGTCTGATTCAATCTAGATATGTGTTCAATATGTAATAAGTCCATCTTTTGTCCTATTCATTATGTAAGTTAATTGAAATTCCCTTATCACTCTGAAACACTGGAAGAGCTAGTAAATTGTAAATGAAACAGTGCTGTGTTCCGCTTGAGTATTGTTTTTTCTCAATGTAGGGCTTTTGAAAGGCACTGTGGCTTTTCTGTTTTGATGTACTATACCCCTTTTAACTGGCCCCTTCTCTGATAAGGTTATTTGGTTTGATTGCATAAATTGCATCAAGAAGTTAAAATGTTTCGATTAGTCTCTGTTCTGCTAGTAGATGGAGAGTGACATTGTGTAATTTAATTCCAGCCAGGAGTTGGATGGCATCCATCAGAGTTGCCAGATGGTGGTAATGGTCTCTGACCTAAGGTACCCAAGACTAAAGGGCACCGCCATGTTCTGTGACACATCAGATAGCAGCACACTTATACTTTACATTTCTTTGCCTCCAAGTTAAGGTGTTCATACTGATGTTTATATTACCTCTATCACTTGAAAGGTTTTAATTAATGGTGTCGGGATTATTGTGTTTTCCTGAGAAATTTAAAGCAACTCATCTTCATTAGCTGTAGCTGGTATTTCCTTACCAGATTGATATGACTTAATTACCAATATTGTGGTTAACTTTAATAATCTTAGTTTTAGTTTGTGCCTTTAATAAGTATAAGACTTTTACACAATAAATGTTGTTTTCCTCTAAAAAAAAAAAAAAAAACTAGATGATAACTGAACCTTTCCTGAGCTTGCAAATCTACCCAGGAAAGTAAGACTTCACAGTGGTGTTTAACATGGGTCCTCCCATGCTCATCGAAACCCAGTAGAAGGGGACACAAACAGCAGAACAACAGCACCCACAGGGAAAATTTGGCAGGCTCCAAAACCCAGAGATAGCCAAAATGGTGAAACAAAGAAACAAATACAAATGAGGGAACAAAAGACCTCTACCAAAGATGAGATAAATAAAATGCAATTAAGCAAGTTAACAGAGCTAGAATTCAGAGCTCTGATCTTGAGGAAGCTCAAGAGCATAAGTAAGGACATCAACACCATGAGTAAAGACATAGAAATATTGAAAATCAACCAACTGGAAATTAAAAACCACCAAAAAGAAATGAAAAATGACATGGCAGAAATAAAGAACACACTGGAAGGACTAAAGAGCAGATTAGAGGAAGCTGAGGATCAGATCAGTGAATTAGAAGTTAAGGTAGAAAAAAATCAACCAATCAGAAAACCAAAAGGAAAAAAAAAAAAAACATTAAAAAACAGGAAACAGCTTAAGAGAACTTTGGGACAACTGGAACTGTAATAATATTCGCATCATAGGAGTCCCTGAAGAAGAAGAAAATGAGCAAAGGTTAGAAAATGTATTTGAAGAAGTACTGACAGAAAACTTTCCTAATTTTGTGAAGGAAGAAGGCATTCAAGTTCAAGAAGCACACAGAGCCCCAAGTAAGGACACAAAGAGGCCCATACCAAGACACAAAGTAATTAAAATGCCAAAAATTAAGGACAAAGAGAGAATCCTAAAGGCAGCAAGAGATAAACAACAGGTTACCTACAAAGGAAACCCCATAAGGCTCTCAGCTGACTTCTCAACAGAAACACTACAGGCCAGAAGAGAATGGCATGAAGTAATCAACGTCATGAAAAACAAGTGTCTGAATTCAAGACTACTCTATCCAGCAAGGCTATCATTCAGATTAGCAGGTCAAAAAAAAGAGCTTCCCAGACACACACACACAAAAAAGGCTAAAGGAATACATTAGCACCAAATCAGCACTGCAAGAAATGTTAAAAGGACTGCTATGATTAGCAGGAGAAATGGGAAGAAAAATAGAACCACACTAAACAAAAATGGCAATAAGTAAGTACATATCAATAATCACCTTAAATGTAAATGGATTGAATGCTTTGATAAAAAGACACAGAGTAGCTGATTGGATAAGAAAGCATGACCCACAGCCTGCGGTCCACAGAGACCCGGGTTCGGTTCCCGCTAAGGGCATGTACCTTGGCTACAGTTTGTCCCCAGCCCTGGTTGGGTCATGTGGGTGGCGGCCACTCGATGTGTCCCTTTCACATCGATGTTTCTCTCTCTTCCTCTCTCTCCTTCCCGCTCTATCTGAGTGAAAAATGGAAAAATGTCCTCCGGTGAGGATTAAAAAAAAAAAAAAGAAAGCATGACCCATATATATGTTGTTTACAAGAGACCCACCTCACAACAAAAGACTCAAAGAGGTTGAAAGTGACGGGATGGAAAAAAAATCTTCCAAGCAAATGGAAAGGAAAAAATAAAAGTGGGGTAGCAATACTCCTATCTGATAAAGTAGATTTCAAAATGAAGGCTATAACTAGAGACAAAGAAGGTCACTACATAATATTGAAAGGACCTATCCAGCAGGAATATATAACTTTGGTAAGCAGGGGATATCAACACCTCGCTGACATCACTGGATAGATCCTCTAGACAAAAAAATTCTCAAGAAAAAAAAAGACTCTAAATGAAGCACCAGACCAAATGGATTTAATAGATATACAGAGAATTATACCCCAAAACTACAGAATTCACATTCTTCTCAAGTGCACATGGGACATTCTCAAATAGACCACATGTTAGGACAAAAAATAGGTCTCTACAAGGTCATGAAGTTTGAAATGATTCAAGCATCTTCTCAGTTCACAATGGCATGAAACTAGAAATCAATTGCAACAAGAACATGTAAAGACATTTGACCACATGGAGGCTAAATACCATGTTTATTAAACAATGAATGGGTTTCCAAAGACATCAAGGAAGAAATTTTAAGATTCCTGGAAACCAGTGAAAATGAATATAAAACAACAAAAAATCTATGGGATGCAGTGAAGGCAGTTCTGAGAGGGAAGTTCATAGCACTACAGGCCTACCTCAAGAAACAAGAAAAATTTCTAATAGACTATCTAACCACACAACTTAAAGAACTAGAAAGCAAACAAACAAACAAACAAAAAACAAAAAAAAACCCTGAGCAAGTAAAAGGAAGGAAGTAGTAAAGATCAGAGCAGAAATAAATGACATGGAGACCAAAAATCAATTCAAAGATCAATTAAACAAAGAGCTGGCTTTTGAAAAAGATAAACAAGATTGATGGACCCTTAGCTAGACTCACCAAGAGACAAAAAGAGAGAACCCAAATACACAAAATCAGAAATGAAAAAGGAGAAGTAACAACTGACACCACAGAAACACAAACGATTGTTAACAAGTACTACGAACAATTATATGGCAACAAATTCGACAATCTAAGCGAAATGGACGAATTACCAACAAGCAGTCTCACAAAACTAAACCGAGAAGAGAGAGAAAACTTGAACAAACCAAAAACAACAAAAGAAATTGAAAATGTAATCAAGACTCTCCCAGTAAACAAAAGCCCAGGCTTACATGGCTTCACGGGGGAAATTTTACCGAACATTCAAAGAAGAACTAATACCCATTCTCTTCAAACTATTTCAAAATATTCAAGAAGGAAGACTTTCAAACTCATTTTATAAGGCCAGCATAATTCTAATTCCAAAACCAGAAAAAGACACTACAAAGACAGAAAACTACAGGCCAATATCCCTGATGAACATACATGCCAAAATCCTGAACAAAATACTAGCAAATCGAATCCAGCAATACACCAAAAAAATTATTCACCATGACCAATGGGATTCATCCCAGGGATGCAAGGCTAGTACAATATTTGCAAATCAATAAATGTGATACACCACATAAACAAAATGAAGAATAAAAACCACATGATCATATCAATAGATGCTGAAAAAGTATTCGACAAAATCCAGCATCCATTTGTGATAAAAATGCTCAGCAATCTGGGAATAGAGGGATCATATCTCGACATAATAAAGGTTATATATGAAAGACCTACAGCCAACATCATACTCAATGGGCAAAATACAAAAACATTTTCCTGAAGAACAGGAACAAGACAGGGATGCCCACTTTCGTCACTCTTATTTAACATAGTACTGGAAGTCTTAGACACAGCAATCAGACAGGAAGAAAAAATAAAAGGAATCCAAATTGGAAAGGAGGAACTGAAACTGTCATTATTCACAGATGACATGATATTATGCATAGAAAACCCTAAAGATTCCATCAAAAATCTACTAGATTTAATAAATGAATTTGGCAAAGTAGTTGGATACAAAATTAACGTCAAGAAATCAAAGGCATTCTTATACACCAATGATGAACTCACAGAAAGAGAAACTGAAAAAACAATCCCATTTAGCATTGCAGCAAAAAATTAAGATACCTAGAAATAAACTTAACCAAAGAAATAAAGGACCTATTTGCAAAAAACTACTGGTCATTGAAAAAAGAAATGGAGGAAGATATAAAAAAGTGAAAGCACATACTTTGCTCATGGATTGGAAGAATTAGCATCATTAAAATGTCCATACTACTCAAAGCAATCTATAGATTCAATGCAATCACCATCAAAATACCAACGACATATTTCAAAAACTAGAGCAAATACTCCAGAAGTTTATATGGAACCAAAAAAGACCCTGAATAGCCACAGCAGTCTTGAGAAAGAAGAACAAAGTAGGTAGGATCACAATACCAGGTATCAGGTTATACTACAAAGCCACTGTAATCAAAACAGCCTGGTACTGGCACAAGAACAGGCATATAGACCAGTGGAACAGAACAGAGAACCCAGAAATGGACCCAAGACATTATGCTCAATTAATATTTGACAAAGGGGTCAAGAGCATACAATGGAGTAAAGGCAGCCTCTTTAATAAACAGTGTTGGGAAAATTGGACAGCTGCATGCAACAAAATGAAACTAGACCATCAACTTACACTATACACAAGAATAAACTTGAAATGGATAAAAGACTTAAATGTGACTCATGAATCCATAAAAATCCTAAAAGAAACTGTAGA